CGACGGCGAGTTCCGCAGACGATGGAACAATGAACTGTATGAGCTTTACAACTACATGGACATAGTGCAGCGAATTAAAATTTAGCGGATCCGCTGGCTAGGTCATGTCCTTCGAATGGACAGAAACGCTTTCCAACGCAAGAGGAAGAGGAAGGCCTCATCTGCGATGGGAAGACCGAGTGGAGAAGGACTTAGCATTACTTGGCATTTCCAATTGGCGTCAGTTGGTACAGAAGAGAAACGACTGGAGTGCTGTTTTGTATCCGACCAAAATCACTCAAAGAAGAAAAAAACTAATTGCCTATCATATTTATATTCATTTCTTATGTTGATATCCAATAATTTTTGATTAATTTTGATTTTGATTTGATTCATAATTGATATTATGCATGCGTTAATATGGTTACAGTATGCGTACGGTGACCATATTTATGGCAGTCGAATACGTGACAAAAATAATTTTAACAATTTTTTTCACAAAAGCTAGGGTATTTGAAAATCTTTTTCAATAATCCTAGACTTATTAGCCTTGAAACAGCATCTTTATTTAGCATATATTTTTCGATCTTTTGTGAACGCGGCACATATATACTCAGTTGCAACATCCCATATTTGGAGAATATTTTTCTATAAACTTGTACTTTAAACTCGGGATTTTTACACCGTAAAATTTGTTACAAACATTCCAAGGCAGGGAAAATGCGACTACTTTTGAGGCACAAATGGTATTGAACGCATTATTTTCAGACTCCGATTTCGAATTGCAAAGCGTACCTTCGAAAGGTTCCGCTTTCCTTCCATCTTTGAGAACTTCTTTACTTTTACAACATTATCATAGTAGCCTTCTTATTTGGAGTTTCTCATGTCGCAGATACAATAATCCCTCATATAATGACCAAACATCTTTTTGCCGTAGTTTCGCCTAAAGAACATATTCTCCCTTCACAAAATTTGAAAATTGCCTCCACCCCACGGCACATTGGAGAGGTAATAGTAGCCGGGAGCAAGCTGCGTGCATTTTCTTGTTGGTTTTGGGAACCATATACGTAAACAAAGTTTGAAATTTCAGAGTAAAATTTAAACAAACATGACAATTTAAAAACGAAATTCGCAACATTTATTTTTCAGCTGCTCTACTGCTGCTACTTAATCAATATGTTTTGCTCCACACAGAATATTCAACAGGACATGCTTTGAAAAAGCCTTTGAAAAGCTCAATACTAGTGAAATTTTTTTTAGAAATTTGAACAATAATCATTAGCGATTAATTTCTATTCATATCCACAAATACCCAGTTTTCCTACGCAAAATTATAAAATCAGAAACCATCTACATATATGCTCCTCGATTCGAATCACAAGCGTATAACACATTACGGATGGTCACCGTAAGTATGCGATATTTCATATTCTGAACTCAATAAAATTTTGGACACATGCAACTATTTATGCAGAGTTTTCACTCCCTTACCTTTCGACAAAGCATCAAACAAATATCCGATCAAATTTTTTAAACCATTTTCTTGCGCATTACCTACTTACCAAAGCCATTGAAATGAGAGAACAGCAATTTTTAATGTATACGTATGTATGTTTTACAATTTATTCTTTATTTCTTATATTCACTTCTAGATGCATTTATTTACTTGCAACTGTAGCATTATGCTTTTTGTATATAAATATAATTAATACAATATTAATAATATACATATGTATGCATGTTTTGATTTATAATAATTTGCATCCATTTCACAAACAGCAGAGCAAAAATCCTAATATTTAGGCAATACGAATATAATCATAATCAATAATAGGATATATGTATTTTTGTATGTATGTATAGAGCATATATTTAGTAGGTATCTGTTATGCATGTATACTTGTAGTAGAATTCGCGTCATAAATATACATACATATGAACATTTCTGTGTAATGATACATATGCGCATATTTATTTAATAATCATTAGATAAGTATACTTAACAGTAATCAAAAATAGAGAACTACCCAAATATGTATTCATTTGTATGTACAGTTTGCAGTGTGTATGTATGTATGTGTGCTTACAAGTACTGATGACACTTTACTTCTCCTATAGACAATATATGTAATAGTTACATATAATAAATTATAGCATATAATCAAAATATTTTACAGTTCAAGGGTAATTACATTGTTAAATAGCAATTGAATACAATTTGATACAAAGAAAAATTATTACTAAATAAGTAGTATTTTACACAAACTTTACGCATACATAAACGTGAAAAATTATACACATACATATGTACCTTGATATAGAAACACCCTATCTAGTGTTTAAGTTTCTTTGCAAAGTGTTTAAAAATTGAATTGTAAATCAGCTCGATGTTCCTTTTAAACGCTTTATTTTTTTACTAACTAATTGTATGCTGTAGCAGTTATTTTACAGCTCTATTAGGTGTTTAGTGAGTAATCTACCGACTTTCGTACCAAGCTGGATTTTAAACGGAAGCGAGTTAGGACCTTTCTATATTAAGGTAACGATATTGCTTACGCTTCGAGTGACTATTAGAAGAAAACCTAATTTTTGCGAACTAGATTTGTGTGCGTTAAACAAAAAACCAAAATACATATATACATAAAGTATGAACTTAATTTAAAAAAAGTATACAAATACATACATTTATTATTTATTTAAATTTAAATATAAATTAGTTAATTGATATTTAACAGACTTGCAAGTACTAAATTTATAATTTTCTTTTTTGTTTTGAATGTGTCCAAATTTTTCATGCACGCATATGTCCAAAAAATATTAACACTAATCCTAAATTATATAACTGCTAAAAGTATATATATTTTATTTAAGAGCAGGGATTTCGTAGGTCTAGTTTTTATTTTTTTTTTTTTAATTCTCAAACAGCTAAAAGATTTCCACATGCATGCTTTTGAGACTAGTCTTTCTCTATTGAAAACCTTCATATACATACCCCATACATGCGTATCAATATATCTGTTATCATTTTATCATTTTACCTCAAAATAAATCACGACCTAATAGACCTAAATTTTTTGTATTGCTATTATTTTATGAATTATTAATTTTTCGTTTTAATAAATATTTTTTGTATTTTTGTAAAGTAAATTATCCTTTATACATGCCATCATTTCTTTATAAACATGCGCTCATAGGATTTTTCATTCATTGTTTTTTTACTTAAGTCCATTATTTCTTTCGCGCATTTAATTTCTATTCTCTAAGCTGCAGTGCGTATAAGGAACTTTTTATAATGTAGCAAAGCGAAATAATACATACATAAATAAAGTTATAAGGAAATATAAGACATTAAGCAAAGAATTTGCAAAAAATAAATAATTAGATCAAAAACTACTCTAATACTAAAAGTTTATATATATTTAAATGTTTTTCTACAATATACATACACACAGATCATATAAGACGACGCATCTAGTGTGTATAAATAAGCACTAGTGTATTTATGTAAATAAAGGTATTAAGGTAGTAAAACAGTAGTGTTGTTGTTTACAAAAAAATATATATTTAAATAAATAAGAACGGGTCTACACTACAACAAAAAAATGTTCTACTCTTCTGTGGCTGCATATAAAATTATGTGAGCAGTGGTATGTATGAGGTTAAAAAGAAAAATGTATGAGGTTCAAAAACAAAATTTTATCAAATTCATTCAAGTATGTACATATCGAGCCCTAACCAGTAAAATAAAGTAAACATTTTTTTTGTTTAATTTAGATTTGATGCAGAAATGCCTTTAAATCATCTAGAGGCATTTTTGCATTAAAAGTAAATTTTGAAAAAATATCTCGCTGACATTATATTTGAGGTTAGGACTCGATATGTATTTATGTATTACATGACATTTAAGAAATTATTATGACCAAAAATATTGCATCAAACAAATTTGTTTCAATAACAATTTTTTCTCTACAAATAGTTTTTAGGAAAAAATATTCATTAATTTTTCTAAAAAAAATTAAGCAAAGGAAATAAATATAGAAAAATCGCAAAAAAAAATAAATATTTCTCATAAAATTTCCTTAGATGTTTTCTTTAAACACCTTTTGATATCTAAACGTGATTATTGCATACCGCTCGTTTGAGGGAAAAACATCATAAATGAATAAATTAAAAATTTAAGAAAAGAGCCCTACTTTTTTTTTTAATTTATTGACAAAGAAGCCATGATGCAAAGCTCAATAACAATTGGGATATGCACACCAGCCTGGTTATCTGATTATGTGGCTATCCTTTTTACTCAGTTTACATTCTGGTGGCACTCTGAATAATAATTTTTAACCAGTAATCTGATAACCAGGCAGGTATGAATACCCCAATTGTTAATAGTTTTTAGTCAAGGTTTCCCCATTAAACAAAGAAGAGACTATAAAAGTTTAATACATACAGACATATGGACATATAGTCAGCGTCAAAAATATAAATCCCTGACATTTTGACGATTTTATTTATTTATATTTTCCGCTCTAAATTTTTCTTATTTTTTATAAAAATATAGTTCATTCAACAGCAAAGCAAGCAGAATAAATTTGGTTTTATTTCATATAGAGCTCGGAAAATTTCAAGAAATGTCAAGAAATTTTCATCGAAATTTTCATCGAAATTTTCAACTTTTTAATTCGATTTCTAAGAATAATGTAGTATTCAGTTTTGCAGCTCATTAAATTTTAGTGCAATGAAGTGCAAGTTTCAGGTCTTTAAAAATGACCATTGATTTTTTAGATTTTTTTTGTCCAGGCTATTGCGCATTTTCTTCTATAAATTTTGTTCGTGCGGTATAATCAAGGTACTTTTAGAGACTTAAAACTGGCACTTTATTATACTAAAATTTAATGGGCTACAAAACTACATACTCCAAATTTTTCTTAGAACTCGAATTGAGAAATTGAAAATTTCGATGAAAATTTCTTGGTATTTATTGAATTTTCCCCACCTCTACATGAAATTAAAAAAATTGATTTTGCTGTTGAATGAACTATATTTTTATAGAAAAATAAGAAAAATTTGTTATGGAAAATATAAATAAATAAACGCGCCAAAACTTCAGTGGATTCATATTTTTAACGCTGACTGTATATGTATGTCATCGTAAAATTTGATACGGCCGTCAACTTAAATTGATTCCTTACTGTGGGCAAAGAGTTTGTTTTTTAAATATAGTAAAGTGGAAAAGTCATACATGAGGCCATGAGAGCCAAGCCCACATTTTTTTAATTAACTTCTTAAAATTGTTTCAAATGGTATAAATTTTAAAGTAAAGGTCGCTTATTTCGTAATTTGATAGTACGTTAAATAGCTTTGTACCTTAAAATTAATAATCAAAATTATCACATTTGAGACTATTTTAAGTAGGCAAGTACACAAAAAGACAGTTGGCTGCTCATGGCCTCGCATCAAAGAAAAATTGGCAATTCTTTCTTTTGGTATATTGTCGTTTTTCCAGCAAACGAGCGATATGTTAGAAGCGAGAAGTGTAACGAATTTTGTGCTAGAATCTCAAAATTTCGTTGTGGAAAAATCAAGCACCGCTTGCACTAATTAAGTCATCTTTTAAACAAATAACGAAATAGCAACAAGTACATAAGTAAATGTACAAAGAGTGCTGACTACAACGCTAAATTCAAACTATCGAAGAATTCCTCTTCGCCGCTTCCAGCATCGCCCTCTTCATTTGTTTTCATTTCCGCTACATTAGGCGCAACATCGACGGCGGTCTCGGTCTCGGTCGCCCTCCCCCACTGTTCCAGCGCCAACTGCCGGTAGTAGAAACTGCTGGCGCTACTGGTACTCGCACTGCGCTGGCTAACGTTTTTTCGATCTTCTACTTCTAACGACGAATCGAGATTCTCTTCACGCACCTCTTCGTCTTTCAACTCCACTTCTTCATTATCCCCCACCAAAAGCGCATGTTGCATGTGATGTACTTTGAATGCCGCTCCAGCACAGCCCTCATTTTGACTGCGTGTCAGCGCTGTGTTAAACCAAATTTGCGCCTCATGGTCATCGGGTGCTATCCTCTCCGCTTCCCCTTCCTCTTCCTGCTGTTCCCAGCTATCGCTGTAGTCATCATCATCATATTTTTTTAAGCTGCTTGCACTCTCTGCCTTCCGCCCCCAAACATTGGTCTCTTCAACGTTCGGCGCATATTCTATTTCCTCCTTGATTGGATACACTGTGCGTAAGTCAGCCTGCATTTTCTTTTCCACACTAAAATCATTTCCAGATATTTCTTCGAGCAGCGAGTCACTAAAGCCATAATCGAAAGTGACTACCAAATTGTCACTGCCGCAATCTGAACTGCGGAGGGAGTCATTCGAGTAGTAATAATCATAGCTGGATATGCTAGCTTCTGGCAGTAATGATTTCATTTTGCTTTCATGTTGTTGGTGCAGTTTGGTTTGCTCCTCCAACTCATAGGCACGTACGAAGTTATAGTTGTCTTTGCTTTTGCTCTTCAGCTGGAGATTTGCACCCAATTGAAGTGGCAACGGCCGGGCAGCAAAGGTTGTGGGAGAGAGCGCACTGCCACCTACATCGACGGCGCAATCAAGGTCAACATAAGCGTCGACGCCGCCGCCCCCGCCAGCACTACCGAGATGCGCATGGTCACTCAAGGCTTGTGCAAGCACTTGATGCCATTGTTGTTGTCGCCAGGATGCGCCCGCTGTCGTGGGTTTGTTAGTTTTCTTACAGCCTTTGGTGTTCGGTAGCTGCAGCTCATAAAGTAGTGAATGCTGTAAACGTGCAAGAAAATGCCAAAGGTTTTGGTGTTTGGTTTTTGGTTTTTGGAAGCAGATGGGGAGAAAATAGAAAAATAAGAAAGCAAAAATTAATATACGTGCAATAGCAGTAAATACAAGGAATTTAGGGATAGTAATGAAAGAAAAGGATTGGGTGCATATCTATGAAACTATACATGTTTGCCAAACCATAAGAATTCATGCAACATAAAAAACTGTGAAACTAATTTATTAATTTAACTTATTTTGAGCGTGTTAGTAGCACATAATGGCAAAAAAGGTAATATAAAAATATTAAATGAGACAGTGCTTGTGCCTTTTGAAACCAGCACCAGCTTTAAGCAACACAATTTCTATTTTTATTTTTTGAGTTATTGACTATCAAACAAAAAATAATTTACAACCAGAAAATTTACACAAATTTTTTAAATTGTTACCAAGTTACAAGAATAACGGTAGACTCGCTTCAAATGAGAATCGTTGGCATTTGACTCTCTACCTTAGGCTGTGTGCGAGTACATATGTAAATAAATTGAGAAAACTTAAAATCCATGAAGTTTTTAATACAATTTTACACTTGAAATAAAGAAGGTAGTTTTTATCAGTATTTAATTCATTAATTTTTTAAAATAAATATAACATATTCCAAAGAAGGCGTTTGAAAAAATGCTCCGCTTTATTTTATCCAATAAAGCTCGTCGGCGATTTCAAGCATCCGTTGTTGGTTACCCCAGCAACGAGTACATGTGTGAGTGTCGGGTTGAATGTCGGGTGCTTGAAGCTTGCCCGGCGACACTCAAGCATAAAGCGTCAACACCATTTGCAATAAAATTTCGTAGTGGGCGGACGTAAACATGTCTTCATCGGATGACGATTTTTTGCTACTTGCCACTAAAATCTTTATCTTCCGCGAACTTGCTCATTTTACATATCACAACAAACTAACACACTAATGCTTGTCAACGCTTTGCGCTACTATCAAACAGACCGCTTGTCAAGCGGTCGCGTTGATGGAAAATCAAAAATTTTTGATTTTCCATCAACACGAGCCGACAACAAGTACGTGTGACACGACGATCTCCGATTGCCTCGGTTGCTGGGGTAACCAACAACGGATGCTTGAAATCGCCGACGAGCTTAACACGCTTTCGAATTACTCAATTTGAATATTTTTTTTTCGTAGTAAGCTTTGAAATAAATGTCAGAAATAAACCCTATATCATGATACAATAATTTGTATAAGGTAGTTTCACTTCTTCTTCTTATCCGCCATGTTAGCTATCTGACAGAAAACGTGTATCGTATTTTTTGTTGTACCAACTTTTTCAAAAACAAAAAAATCCAGCTTTCGACGTTGGAAAAATAAAACAAAGGAAAGCCAAGCATATAAGTAGAGAAATATTCTAATATTTTTTTTAATAATTTTCTTAATAAAATATTATGAAAAAATTAATTGCTGCTTCCGTGGATATAGGAATACACGGAATAGATTTAAGGATACCGCTTTGAGAGCCACCGCACACCACAGATTTATCGGTCGCCTATTTAAATACATGAAGGTGTATGGAGGTGCACACCCCACTCCAACCAAATCGCTCCGAAATGCAATTTAAAGACTAGCGAGCCCAACTAAATCAGCGGCCGATAAAGTCCGTGGTGTGCGATGGATCTGCCACATTTTCGTTTTTATGATTTTTATTCATGTGATTAACAGTGGCAAGAATGTATAAATTAAATACGTATGTATATGTATATTAAAAATTAAGTGATCAGTTATGAAATATTTAAATCTTTACATGTTCTATTAAAAATTATCTAAAATAACAAGCGAAAATTCCCAAGTAGAAGTGGCCACATTGCGTGTTTGTCACAGACATGGTTTATGTCAAAAATTTTGAAATGGAACTACCTTCTAAAAATTGTTGTATCATGCTTAGAACAAGTAAACATTAGATATGCGTTTCATAACTGAAATACTTCCAGCGAGAGTAACTACGTGTTCAGATTCTATTGTTCTTTTATAGACACACCTCCTGTAAAATTTATTGAATTTTTATTGAAGAGCTGAAGGAAAATACTCCAAAATGTTTAAAATTTATTCGCGTTTGCGGTTTTGTAACCCATTAAATATTAGTATAAAAAGATGCAAGTTTCTCTTTGATTTTTTATAATTTTTTTTTTGTTGAGCTAAATTTTGAGGAAAATATGTTGAATTATTACAAAATTTGTGTAAAGTTTGAAAATCGGATTTATGCACATGGTCTTGTTATAGGAAATGCTACATTTTTATAAAAAATTAATAAATATAAAATAAACAAAAGGAAAACTGTCAATATGAGGATCAGAAGGGAGCGCTATTCAAGTGGCCGGCACTGTATATTGTTTAAAAGAACAATTCATCTTCATATTCCAGCTTATAAAGGAAAAAATTAGTTTCTGTAAGACCGCCGCAATTTTGAAACCTTTACACCCCTTTGGAGGGATCCAATCTCTCTCAAACTCAATCAAAATTGTTGAATATACTTGATACTTCACTTTAAAGATTTTACTTCGGACTGTCATAAGCTTTGCTACAAGATTTTCAAAGCATTCGACTTTGCAACTTTAAATATAATGACCTGTTGCATTTTCTTCAATATAAATGCAAATAAATTCGGTTCAAGCTGATTAGCATTGAGTGGACTAACAAAGTAAGGTGTCAGATATTAACTTTTCTAAATCGATATATCCCGGAATCTGTTTTCCGTACGATCGATTGTTTCTTAGAATGCTCTCATTTAGAGGACAATGTCAGAAACGAACGCGTACGATCCTAGAGGACCGAGCCGCAGTCTATCAAAAGCTGGGCAGTTTAAGAGCCAGTGTTGAGAGGAGTCCACCTCGTCATCACCCATGCAGCTGCAACAAGGAAGCTCCAGTGTGATGTTTAACCTCGCTGCGTGCATTCCAATCGCGAGCCTAAAAAGGTTCCTAGAGCGCCCCCGTCCACCATCGGCCAGAACGATCTTGCATTGGTACATGTCCTAGTTTTCTCCCAGCGTTCGCTGAAGAAGTCGACAAGTAGCCCTACGAAAAAGTCTAAAAACTAGTTAATAAGCATACCAACCAGGAAGTTGACAACAACCCTCTTTAACCATGGGTCCATCAACACGACTCTGCGCGGCCACATAAAGCGACGACAACCAGCAGGTTTTTTATGCTAAGTATTGGCGCTTGGGTGGCCAAGTTTGAAATCCTCTCGATTACAAATTATGTTCGGATTAGGCTGTTTGGGCTGCAAAGTTCGCCAGAGAGGAAGTCTCAAGCAAACTCTTAATGCAGCAATTCATCAATAGTTTTACTATATTTTTTAAAATTAGCAATTGTATAAATTCTTTTTGTAACTAAGTGACATTTTTTTTATAAATATTGAGAAAAAAACTGCATTCCTACTTTTTCAATAAAATCACAAATAAAAAGTCACCCTCTTGGACCCATCGGCCGTCAAGGATTAAGATTTTTATTTTTTTTCAAAAATGTGGGAAATTGTATGTTTTTTTCTTTTTAATTTACTACTTGTTTTGGACACCAAAATGTATGTGTAATTAAATTATGGGTGTGTGTGTGTGTGTTGGGGGGAATTATGTAGGGGTCAAACAGCTACTTAGGGAAGAGAAAAGCAACACCAAAGAAAAGCAACGACAATTAAATAGAGCACAATGTGAGTAAGTATGTATGTAGGTTGGTGCTGGGTGGTGGATTTTGTGAATAAAAGTCTTTATTTTCTTAATTAAAACTACGACGCAACAGCGAAACAATTAACGAAACAAATAGCAAAAAGTAAAAGTGTAAAACAACTAACTAAGTACATACTAAGAAAAAAGGAAATAAACAAGAACTTAGGACGAAACGAAACTTACGCGAAAGACTTTTTGCTTGCTTGTTTGCTTCAAGAATGATACTATGTAGTTGAAAGATGTTGTAGCCGTTGTAACAGAGAAGCAGGTGAACGGGTGAACAGGAAGACAGGAGGTGGTAGAGTAAAGGATAAAGCTGGCGTTGCTAAATTTACACATCTTCCGCGATATTCGTTGCATTTTAACCGCTCAATTTTGTGCTAAACAAAATGGACAAAAACAACATATGCGCGGACACAATTAGAGAACACATATGTATGGCGCTCGTGCACCGACCAGTTGAGGAACTGATGATTGTAGGATGATGCTTTCAAAATATGTATGTATGTGCGTAGATCGTTGCAGTTTCTGGAAATCCCTTTTAAGCGCCATTTCATTGCTGCTGCTGCTTCCGTTCGTTGTATTTCCAAATTTCTTCAAGTCCTACTCTTCTAACGTTGCTGGCGGGCGAACTGTCGTAGTTGCTTGAGCGGCGTGTGTGTAGAGTTGTGTGCATGAGTGCTTGTTTTTTAAAACAATTTTGAGGTTGTTAACTTTAGAGGCATGCAGTTTGATAGATGACTTTTTTCTTCTAGAAATTCAATTTTGAATTGGATGGCCACTTGCGGCCAGACAAGCTTATACGACGCAACTTCGAGGTTGTAATGCCAAAATTTAATTAACCTTGCTAATTCTACTTTCCATTAGCAGCTGTATATTTCTTACACATACCTTCTTTTTTTTTTTTGATTAGTTTTGTTTTAGTAACATACCCTCATTCGGTTATTTACTCATGTGTTACATGTATTTAAGTGGCATTCGTCTATTTCGTTTCGGACGATTTATTATGTGTCTTTTGCATGCAATCAGCTGCTTATTGTAGATACCAATAAAATTTATTAATTTATATTAATTCATAAGTATGTCAAATTATCCAGGTTGTTGGTAGTCGTCGTCGTCGTTGTTTTTGTTGTTGTTGTTGTTGGTGGTGGTTGTGTTTTAGCAGTAGTCGTGGTTTGTGGTTGGAGTAGTGGTGAAGTTTTGGTGGGGCGGGAACACAATACATAAGTATTTTATTAATTAAATTAATTTATATTTTCATTAATGAAGTTTTTGATTTTCTGTGTTTTTTTCAAAATATTTGCCAAATAATGTTTAAGCGTTTAGTTTTTCGTTGTTGTTAATTTTGGTTTCTTTGCAATCGTAGGTCTTTGTGTTTGATATTAATTTTGGATATTTGTTTTTTTTTTTTTTTAATTAAATAGTTTCAAAGCTTTATACGCATGCAAGTGTTAGCGCCGTCATGTAAAAGAGAGACAGACGAAAGTTAAAGGCGGGAAGGCGTAGAAGAGCAGACATTAAAAAAAGACAACAAAAAAATATTAAACAGTTAGATTGTTCGGTAGTGCTTATAGTTTCGATTTTTTATATATTGCTTTAAAATAGTGTTAATTCTTTCATAACTAACTTATACTGATGGTGTTCGTCATTCGTTTTTTATTATAAGAATATTGCTTCCTAGATTTAATTTGTTAGAATTTTTATTTTGATTTGCTTGTATGTTGTTGTTTGCATTTAGAATTGTGCATAGATATTGATTTTGATTCTGCTTTCGATTTTTCTTTATATTTTTGTCTCGGTTAATAAGTGAACGTAACTGATCAATCAATGAGTCAATGATCGGTCTTAATTTCCATATTTATGAAGTGTACTTAAGCTTAGAAGCTCACTCAAAGATAAAGTTTGATTTTTGTGTTTAAGCTTAAATGAAATATGTATTTATGTTTTTATGTTAACTGTTTAGACGTCAAAAGATGAAATTGTGGTGTTTATAGCCGATATGAAGTGAAAACGTTTTTATGAAAATATGATTAGGTATCAAAGTGTAGTGAAACTCATTTTTTATGGTATGTAACTTGCGAGATGTGAAGTTCGACTTATTATGTTAGTATGTGATTGTTTTTTTTTTTTTGTACTAAAATGTCTTTAAAGTACAGATATAATTATATCTAGAACTAGCAAGAGATTGAATCAATGTAGCGTGATTTACAAACATACATATTTCAACGGCACTCACTTTCTTAACAGAATAGTTGATGAATACAAATGTCAAAAAAATATTTTGATGAGCAAAAAGGAACGTGGTTTAAACGCAAGATGCGAGCGTAAAAAAATTTAGACTGGAGCGGATTTTTCTACAGGATCAATAGAGGGCACAGTTTGTGAAAAATTACAAACAAACAATAAGTGATCTAAGAGTTAGACTTCGTATGCAGCAATATGGAGTAGCTTGTTGCAAGCCCTAAAAAAAACATCCTTTCAACGCCTCGAATGAGACGAAAAAGATTAAAGGGGCTCTTAAGGGGATTATAGTTAGTATAGACAGTTAGCAAGGTTAATCCATATTAACAGCGCTGTTGATCCGATCAAAGTTGTATACTGGCGGATTAAGCGATCCGTGAGGTCTTGCGGAATTCTCATTTAATTTTTTAGTTAATTCAATTGTTTTTATATACATATGTAGTTATTGTTGTGGACTTTTTTAACAAAATTAAGCTCTAAAAATTTGAATTAACTAATAATACAATAAATAATAATGTGAAATAAAATAAAATATGTATATAAATAAAATTATAAAAAAAATAAAACAAAAAAAAATAATAAAAAATAAAACTCAAACGAGAAATTTTTAAGTAAAACCAATTAAACCAATTAGTATAAGACCACCACAAATTCGAAGAGCTCAGCAAAGTAACTTACAAAGTTACTTAGCAAAAATGTTTAATGCTTAAATAATTTTGGTGGTGTTAACTTTGAAAAGTTTGGCATAAAAATATAAGCATATTGGAAGCGAAAATTTAGTATTTTGGACCACTGTAAGTTAGCTGCGATGGGTTCAACTTCTATTTCTAAATAAAAAAAAAACTAATTCTCATTAAGCCGTGCGGTTTTTATAACCTACCGCTACTATTTTCAAAGAAAGTCGTTAGCGTTGATGTTGACGCCATGTGACGATGTTGACAACGTTCAATTAGTAAGTTCTTTTAAGGGATAACATTTTTTGGTATTTCATATTTTAACTCAATACTTGAAAATACCTATCATTAGTTTCGAAAACTGGTACACAAGAAAACATACATATGAGACCGAAATTCGTAAACAAGCAATAAATCGGGTAATTACCAAAGAGCATAAGTCAGTATTTTTGCGTTATGGCAAACTTTGATGCATGATTTCGATTAATTTTAGGGAGATCTATCGTACTGCGTCAAAATCGGAGAAATGCTCAATACAATCCAAATATGAGATGTACTGCTAGTTCCCGCTATCAGCTACCAAACACAACTTCTAAGCACACATACTCAATCCAATACATAGAAATAAATTACAATTTCAGCCATAAAAGTTCTACATACGAGCATACTTATGTACAGATTTAGGTAGAACATTAACAGTCAGATGTACCTTGTAACAAATCAAAGGATATAGAAACTAAAGAAGCTGCACAGGTATTTTCTTTACACTTTGAATGCGTACTTATGTAGTTATAAATGAGTGTAACAAATAATGGCAAAAACATTTCTTTTCAATACACAAATATTGGTAAGATTTTTATTAGTTATTGTAATAGTTGGTAAACACAAAAATTAGGTCGATGAAAAGAAAACAAAAACCAATATTAATAATTTTTGTAATTTGCATTATATATATGTATCATAACCAAAAAAAAAACTTTATTCTATGTATGTAGATGTGTTATATCTAATACACCGGCAAGTCTTTAGCTTAATTTATAAAAAAAAACGCGCATTAATAATCGTGTATGTATGTATGTTAACGAATGAAAACCATAAACTTAGATTTTGTTGATTTGTTTGTTATTAAACATAATATACACATTTATAGCATTAAAATTAAGCGCATACAAGTTAGGAAATTATTAAATAATAATAATTATAATAGTATTAAACACTAAAATGATTATATTGACATTTGAAGTTGTAACTAAATAGTTAATTGTTAATTTTAGTAAATACATACATACATTAGTTAATACATTTAATACATTTTTGTTGCTAAATTTATGTATACAAACTATATGCAATAAGAGGTTTTTGCTTATATCAAAAAAATAAAAATAAAAATAAAAATATCAATTAAACAAAAAAAAAGCAGTATGCTTTGTGAGTGTTATTTTTTATGAACAATTTTATTTTAACAACGAACGCGAAGGTGTTAACGCAGTCGCTTGCCTTTCAGACTTAACGTCTTTAACAACGGATTTGTTCATGTGTGTGTAAGGATACTCGCTAGTTCCACTATTCTATTTATTTATTTGTTTTCATAATATGTATGTATGACTGTGTGCGTGCATAGAAAAAATAAATTTTCATAGTATAACATTTACAGTTAAATAGCATACTAAGTAGATACGTGATAAACTATTAAAGGGTACTTAACGCCAGAAGTTTCAACATACTATATGTTTTGCAGTCATGCGCCATCGCTAAATGTGTACCGCCAAAAATTACCTAAATGAAATTATATATATCTATGTATATGGAATAGTCCAGACTGAATTGCCGAATTATGTTTTNAAGAAAAAACTATGATACAATATGCATCCAAGCGACATTTTGGTATGAACATATTTATTTTTTAACTGAAAAAAAAAACTTTGAAGGCGAAGGCCTCTTTAAAACAACATTTGCTATGTAAATTCAAATTTTGCGTTTTCCATTGATGATGACAATATGTCCATAACTCTACAAGTAGTAATGGGGATTGATTATAAAAAATACTTCGATTATGAGCAATTGCGGCGGCGTTTTTGAAAAATGTATATGGACTTAAGATAAAACGACTTTTTTAGCAAAAAAGGCGAAATTTCAGTAGAACATTTCAATGAAGCTATAGCCACCCTGGCCTTTCGGCATAACAAAGCTGGTAAGCCTACTTTTGCGAGAGAAAAGAAAAGCCAGAAAACAATTGGAAATAGTTAGCTTAAAATTTGTCCAAATAGTTTCTTGCGTGGTTAATCTGAGTAGCTTAGATTTAGGCTGAGTTATCGAGCGAGAGTTGAGTTTTTGTTTCTAAATACCTTGCGAATCACGAATAATTGGTCTAAAGTGTATGGAGCATAGAAATCATAAAAGGTGCAACAGGCTGCGTTTCTTAAAATTTTATTGAGAGGAAAGGAAAAGTGGGGCATGTTTTCTATGTTATTTGATAAGTATCTCTCGTACTCACTAGCTCAAGACATAAGGGAACATATACATAGTCGAAATAAAGAAGATTCTAAAGTTAGCTGCAGCTTTCTTGCCAGATATTCGATTGAAAATTGTGTAAAAGACGCTGCAACTAACTTTAGTGTGGACCTAAGTTTTACCATGAATACGCCCCACAGATTTTAAATCTACAATAATGTAAAAAAGTTAGTTAATTTTGACGATGACGATTTAGTGATGGCGCATTTGGGGCACATACGGGCTACAAAACCACTCATAAGTTTGAAATAATCGTCGATTAGATATCTATTAATTTTATTTAAACCTGAAAAAGACCAAGTAATCCGTTCACTAGCGCTCAGAATACATTTAATTTGCAATCAAACATATGCATTTATGTGGTTAGTTATGTATTTCCGATGTTTTTATGAATGTTGCAATGCCAATGAGTTATGAGATACATATACATACATATATATGTATATGCGAACTTGTATGTAAGTATGTTTGCGATGCACGTTCACTTAATTAAAATACAAAATTTAATGAATCGTAGTACAAAAATATTTGATTACCGCTTTGTAGTCAGCATTTCAAAAGATTCAGCATTCTTTGGCCTAAATTTAATCAAGCGAAATCGGGCGATTTTACATCGCTTGTTAGCATAAAATTATTTTAACGTTTTTTTTATTATTACATACTGTATTATGCAGCCTTTATGTAAATACGTACATATGTACATATGTATAAGTATCAGAGTGAGTGTTTGTATGTGTATATATGCAGGTGTGACGGTTAAGTTAGCAAATGAAATATATAGCTTTATCCTTTTTTGTTTCGTTAGTTATATATGTATGCATTTTGTAAATGATTTTTGTGGTAGTGGCGNCTTGGCTTCGGCGTGCTACTCACTATGTAGCTGCTTGCCGAGCTGCCAGAAAGCGCAGTAGGCGAGCTCGATGTGAGAAGTGTCGAATTGGCGTGGTTGTTGTTGTTGCTGGCTGTAGGTGAAGTGCACGAAACATCGCTGCCACCACCGTTGCTTATATTTGAATGATGATTATGTTGATGTACACGCGAAAGTGAGTCCAAATGGCGAACGCGTGAGGTGAGCGATTCACGCTTTAGCTTCGGTAGTGGAGAGTTTTGTAAAACTCTCGGGGACGGAGTTGGAGTCGACGCGGTTGCACCAATCGGCGACTTCGAGGTAGCATTTGACAAGTGATGTGTCGCCAACGGTATAGAGGAAGATGTAGAGCTGCGACTCGTGTTGGTGCTCAATGACGAATTGTCTTTACGTATACTTTGTGCGGAGTCAGCGCGTTTCAGACTGTTCGGCGACTTGCTGTAGAGCAGATTTCCTGTGCTGCGACACAGCGAGGATTTGCTCGATGAGTTAGAGGCGGCGTAGGTGTGAGTAGAAGGTGGCGAACGACCAGCTGTAGACGGTCGTCCACTAGGTGGTTTACCTGAAGCGATAAAGAGCGAACAGAAATGGGTGATTGATATTGGTAGGCAGTAAGATGCAATTGTTAATAGTACTATATACATATGATTACTGCATAAATTCACAATTCAAGATAACTAAAAAAAAAATGTAACACACTTACCTGCAAAATAGGCCGCCGCTTTGCTTCCAGGCAAAGGANATAAATTCACAATTCAAGATAACTAAAAAAAATTAACACACTTACCTGCAAAATAGGCCGCCGCTTTGCTTCCAGGCAAAGGAATCTTGCTGGGCTTGCTTCCAATGCTAATTTTTTTACCGCGCACCGCACTCTCAAACGGGCTCACACCGCCCACACTTGCGCTCATTAGTCTGCTGGCCACATTCTGGGCATGGCCATTATCTTGCAGCTCATGATCATGCGCTGATTCTGTGCTGCTACTATGTTGCTGCAATTCATCCATCGGCAGATGCACCATCGCCTTCATGCTGGGCGTAGAGATTTGCGTTACTTGCGGTGCGGGCATTTGCCCAGCCGCTGATGTTGCTGTCGTTGTCGCTGAAATTGGTGTGGCCGAACGCAAATCACTGTAGTGCAGCGTATCACTAGCGCCACTACCAATGCCACGCCGACTCAACATCAATGTGGTGGAAGCCGATGAACGATTTGTTTCGTAATCATTTTGCGAGTGCAAATATGAACTGGTAGGTGCACCACTGCTAGGCGTCACAGAGTGTATGCGAGACTCAAGTATGCGCAGTTGCGCTTTAGTGCCCTCCAACTCAATATTCTTCTCCTCCAGCTACAAGGAAAAGAGATAATGTTAGTAGATGCACAAGAAGGCTATTATGTAAATTCGTTAGAAAAGTTGTGCTCACCTGGAAACGCAGATCCTCAACATCATCTTTCGATTTATCCAGTCTTTTGGCTAAATTTGTTTTTGACTTGGTAGCGGAATCCAGTTTCTGCATCAGAACCTGTTGGAGTATGAGGAGATGAGTTAGACAATCCAAATAATTACCAATATGAATTTCAATTCTCACTTGATTTTGCACGGTGAGCGTCAGCAGATGCCTTTGCAACTCAACTACGCTCGTCTCTAATAGTATTGCGGCGAAACGTTTCGAATCGATCATGCGGCATTTACTATAGCGCCCACCAGGTGTGCTCACAATGCCATCCAGTCGACCCAATTGCTTCTGCTGCTGTTGATCGCCCTGGTCCGATTGTTGCCTTTTACTATCACTGCCTGTGCTTTGATGGAATGCAATGTGTATGTCCTCCGGGGGAGTTGTATATTGTGGACGCTGATACTGTTGCTGTTGATCAAACACCACCACTGGCTGGAATGTATGTTGACGCCGGCTTTGTGCGTTCGATAGTATGGTAGTGATGGTGTTGGCAGCTGCGCCACCGTCTTGAAGCTGTACTGAAGCAGCGCTACCTGTTGATAGCACCGTTGTTGCAGAAGATAAGAAATTGCGCTGACTCGAATAATCAGATTGACTAGAATAAAGGTTAGAATCAATAAATTAATAAAAAGAAACTAGTAACCCAAAGTATTTCACTTACCTCGATGAACTTTTGCTATGCTGCAACTGCTGCGGCTGCTGCTGTTGTTGCAATTGCTGCACCCGCGCGCTCAATTCCAACTTCTGCGCCATCGCCAGCTTTAATTGCTCCTCGAGATCTTTCTTCACACTGATTAACTCCTCCACTTGGTCATTCATTTTAGCTGCCTTAATGCGCCCAGTCAACGTTTCTGCTTCCATTTCGGCCAACTTGTCCAGCAGACGATCACGCTCTCTACGCAACTGTTTGATATCCTCTTTGTTAAGACGTTCAACATGTTCGCGGAAGGTTTTCGGCGTAAGGCCGGCAGCATTCACTGTACTTTGACTGCTGCCGCTAGCGCTGCTTGACTTTGCTAACACCGAAGAACTACGCGTTGTCGGTGTGGATGCTTCGCTTGCAGCAATCACAGTCGTTGTGGACTCATCCGCCAGATTAGTGTTGTTGTTAGTGCTAAGATTACTGCTAGCGCCACGTAGATTCTGCCGCTCATACTGCTGTAACTGATCCATTTCTTCGCGTAAACGATTCGATTTGCGGTGTATAACGTCGAGCAGATTGAGAAGCTCATCGTCAGATTCGTGGCAGGAGAGGCGATTCAGCGCCGTGGCACCCTGCAATTTATAGAAAAAATTTACAAATTCAATTACTCGTTTAACTAGCTTAGCAGATGTGTCCACTCACCGTCATAGCACCGTTCGTAGACGATGCGCTATGACCTTCCTTCGAGGAGCTCGTCTCCGTTGAGAAACCAGAGTCCTGCACAACACTCCCATTATTATTCTCTCCACTCTTTGGCTCCTTTTTGCCGCTATGCGAGTTGCTGCGACTACGCGTCAGCGACGACGACGATAATTCGCCAGCTGCGACTCCTGCAACGGCACCAGCAGAATTCGTCGTCACCACAGCGCTTGGGGTGGTCGGTGTGGACGGATCTTTTTGCGAAACTTTACGCTTCAAACGTATGCCGGGCTCCCACTCGCGTCTGTATGAAAACATAGGCATTATTNAGCCGCTTAATTTTCGCATTGTTTTTTTTTTTTTGNACTCACCTTGACACTAATGACGCATTAGACATTCCGCCACTGCCACCAGTCAGCGTGTTCGCGCCCGACACTGATGTGCCGCTCATCAACGTGCCGCCCGCCGCTGTCGTCGTGGACGCGGCCGATGAAGAAGACATCGAAGCCATTTTATGTTTGAGATCTGGAAACGTTTCAATGACCAGATCGCGAAATTCCAGCAGCGCTCCAACCTCATGTTGCAACTCCTGCAGCGACTTCGTCTGCTCGCTTTGTATGTGATGATGGCTGCTGCTGTGATGCAGCGGATAATTATTGCTGTACGGTGTGACGGCATGATGGCCAATCAAATTCAAGTGCGGATGATGTGTATGCAAGTTGGCGAGGTGTTGCTGATATGCACCGACAACGGTGACGGTTGCTGTGCTGCCGCCGCCACCCATAGCAGCCGCTGAACTGTTGCCGCTGGGCATGATGTAATGATGTGCACCGCCGATACCAAGTGTACCGATACCGCTGCCGTTGCTACTACTGGCGCCGCCGCCGCCGCCATTCATGATTGGCAGACAGTCCATGGCGCCAATAATTGCGGTTGCTGTTCCAAACCCGCTATTGTTCGTGGGGCAGAGTGCAAGGTCATAAGCGTCATTCTGTACATGGAAGAAGAGAAAGAGGGGAAAATAGTGAGTATTTAATTAATGTATACATTAAAAAACATATGTATGTACATAAAAGTATTTTCTCTATAAAATTTTGCGACCGAAATTCAATTGTTGTGGTAATTAAAGTTTGCCATTTTTGGACTCCATATAATAGCATTACTTAAGCATTGCCAGCAATTATATGTAATGTTCTACAACTTTTGTCAATACCAACGCCTCCTACGTACAATTTTATTTTATTATATTATTTTTCTATATGTAATCTTTATTCGTTTAAGTCAGCCACCAACTCAGCAGTTAGTCAATCAGCAAACCATTAAATCAACAAACAGCTAACGACTTTGCCGTACCCTGAATTCCAACTCTTTTGTCTCAAATAAGAGTTTGCAATTCGCAGCAAACGAAATTGGTATACCGGCCTTAGCTGGGTGAATGTGTGTGTGTGTGTTTAGCAACTGACAGTGGGTGTCGCCGAGCAAACATGCTAGAGTAATTGGCACTACCAACCTAATTGTAGTAAATNCACGTTTTGGAATGCCAGAGGCGAATCGCCACCCTGCGAGAAATGTATCTAACTATAAGTTAACTTGAAGTTGATTGGGGAGAAACTACAGGTCGCTATTAACTGTAAATTTTCTTTTAGGAAAGCTAACTATGTATATGTGTTGGGCGATATAGTCAAGGGTTGCCTCTGCATTTGGTGGCAACTAACTTGTAACTAACTACTTTTGGACATAAAATATCAATAAGAAAAGCGATATTCTAATTTTTTTATGCGTAAGATATACATATGTGGTCAGGGACGCACTCAGAAATATATTTTGGGAGGGGTTCTATATCTGANATTCTTATGTACAGTATCTAATAAATATGCTTTTCGAAGTTTCATAAATTATTTACATACATAAAATTAACGAAGAACTGAAATATTTTTAACCGGTTTCAAACAAGGGGGAATTATCAATTCGTCGGAATATTTTTTATTTTTTTTTGTATGCTACCACATAAACACGTGAACCGATTTTAATAATTCTTTTTTTTTTATCGGAAAGACGGTACCTCAAGGGTAGTCCCATAATTTAAAAATTACTAGTTTAATATGTACAAAGTTCGATAAACACAAGATACGCTCAACTTTCAAAAGTAATAAAAAATGTTAAAAAGGAGTTTTAATGTTCCTTTTCCTCGATCTCTGCTTTCTGGTTTTCGATGGAGATGGTGATTTTTCACAATTGCCTAATTTTTTTAGTATTTCGAATACCGAAAAAATTAACTGAACTTGTATTTTTATCATTTTGGTGGAACGAATTCG